CACACACACACACACACTCTCTCTCACACACTCACTCACTCTCACACACACACACACACACTCATTCACTCTCTCATTCACTCACACTCTCACATTCACTCACTCGCGCTCTCAGACACACACACACACACTTCCTCTCATTCTCTCACACACTCACTCTCTCACACACACACTCTCTCTCATTCTCACACACACTCTCTCACTCTCATTCACTCACTCTCTCACACTCACTCTCATTCACTCACTCTCTCACACTCACTCTCTCACACTCACTCTCTCGTTCACTCACTCTCACACACTCACTTGCTCTCTTTCACACTCTCACACACACACTCACTCACTCACTCACTCACTCACTCACTCACTCACTCACTCACTCACTCACTCACTCACTCACTCACTCACTCACTCACTCACTCACTCACTCACTCACTCACTCACTCACTCACTCACTCACTCACTCACTCACTCACTCACTCACTCACTCACTCACTCACTCACTCACTCACTCACTCACTCACTCACTCACTCACTCACTCACTCACTCACTCACTCACTCACTCACTCACTCACTCACTCACTCACTCACTCACTCACTCACTCACTCACTCACTCACTCACTCACTCACTCACTCACTCACTCACTCACTCACTCACTCACTCACTCACTCACTCACTCACTCACTCACTCACTCACTCACTCACTCACTCACTCACTCACTCACTCACTCACTCACTCACTCACTCACTCACTCACTCACTCACTCACTCACTCACTCACTCACTCACTCACTCACTCACTCACTCACTCACTCACTCACTCACTCACTCACTCACTCACTCACTCACTCACTCACTCACTCACTCACTCACTCACTCACTCACTCACTCACTCACTCACTCACTCACTCACTCACTCACTCACTCACTCACTCACTCACTCACTCACTCACTCACTCACTCACTCACTCACTCACTCACTCACTCACTCACTCACTCACTCACTCACTCACTCACTCACTCACTCACTCACTCACTCACTCACTCACTCACTCACTCACTCACTCACTCACTCACTCACTCACTCACTCACTCACTCACTCACTCACTCACTCACTCACTCACTCACTCACTCACTCACTCACTCACTCACTCACTCACTCACTCACTCACTCACTCACTCACTCACTCACTCACTCACTCACTCACTCACTCACTCACTCACTCACTCACTCACTCACTCACTCACTCACTCACTCACTCACTCACTCACTCACTCACTCACTCACTCACTCACTCACTCACTCACTCACTCACTCACTCACTCACTCACTCACTCACTCACTCACTCACTCACTCACTCACTCACTCACTCACTCACTCACTCACTCACTCACTCACTCACTCACTCACTCACTCACTCACTCACTCACTCACTCACTCACTCACTCACTCACTCACTCACTCACTCACTCACTCACTCACTCACTCACTCACTCACTCACTCACTCACTCACTCACTCACTCACTCACTCACTCACTCACTCACTCACTCACTCACTCACTCACTCACTCACTCACTCACTCACTCACTCACTCACTCACTCACTCACTCACTCACTCACTCACTCACTCACTCACTCACTCACTCACTCACTCACTCACTCACTCACTCACTCACTCACTCACTCACTCACTCACTCACTCACTCACTCACTCACTCACTCACTCACTCACTCACTCACTCACTCACTCACTCACTCACTCACTCACTCACTCACTCACTCACTCACTCACTCACTCACTCACTCACTCACTCACTCACTCACTCACTCACTCACTCACTCACTCACTCACTCACTCACTCACTCACTCACTCACTCACTCACTCACTCACTCACTCACTCACTCACTCACTCACTCACTCACTCACTCACTCACTCACTCACTCACTCACTCACTCACTCACTCACTCACTCACTCACTCACTCACTCACTCACTCACTCACTCACTCACTCACTCACTCACTCACTCACTCACTCACTCACTCACTCACTCACTCACTCACTCACTCACTCACTCACTCACTCACTCACTCACTCACTCACTCACTCACTCACTCACTCACTCACTCACTCACTCACTCACTCACTCACTCACTCACTCACTCACTCACTCACTCACTCACTCACTCACTCACTCACTCACTCACTCACTCACTCACTCACTCACTCACTCACTCACTCACTCACTCACTCACTCACTCACTCACTCACTCACTCACTCACTCACTCACTCACTCACTCACTCACTCACTCACTCACTCACTCACTCACTCACTCACTCACTCACTCACTCACTCACTCACTCACTCACTCACTCACTCACTCACTCACTCACTCACTCACTCACTCACTCACTCACTCACTCACTCACTCACTCACTCACTCACTCACTCACTCACTCACTCACTCACTCACTCACTCACTCACTCACTCACTCACTCACTCACTCACTCACTCACTCACTCACTCACTCACTCACTCACTCACTCACTCACTCACTCACTCACTCACTCACTCACTCACTCACTCACTCACTCACTCACTCACTCACTCACTCACTCACTCACTCACTCACTCACTCACTCACTCACTCACTCACTCACTCACTCACTCACTCACTCACTCACTCACTCACTCACTCACTCACTCACTCACTCACTCACTCACTCACTCACTCACTCACTCACTCACTCACTCACTCACTCACTCACTCACTCACTCACTCACTCACTCACTCACTCACTCACTCACTCACTCACTCACTCACTCACTCACTCACTCACTCACTCACTCACTCACTCACTCACTCACTCACTCACTCACTCACTCACTCACTCACTCACTCACTCACTCACTCACTCACTCACTCACTCACTCACTCACTCACTCACTCACTCACTCACTCACTCACTCACTCACTCACTCACTCACTCACTCACTCACTCACTCACTCACTCACTCACTCACTCACTCACTCACTCACTCACTCACTCACTCACTCACTCACTCACTCACTCACTCACTCACTCACTCACTCACTCACTCACTCACTCACTCACTCACTCACTCACTCACTCACTCACTCACTCACTCACTCACTCACTCACTCACTCACTCACTCACTCACTCACTCACTCACTCACTCACTCACTCACTCACTCACTCACTCACTCACTCACTCACTCACTCACTCACTCACTCACTCACTCACTCACTCACTCACTCACTCACTCACTCACTCACTCACTCACTCACTCACTCACTCACTCACTCACTCACTCACTCACTCACTCACTCACTCACTCACTCACTCACTCACTCACTCACTCACTCACTCACTCACTCACTCACTCACTCACTCACTCACTCACTCACTCACTCACTCACTCACTCACTCACTCACTCACTCACTCACTCACTCACTCACTCACTCACTCACTCACTCACTCACTCACTCACTCACTCACTCACTCACTCACTCACTCACTCACTCACTCACTCACTCACTCACTCACTCACTCACTCACTCACTCACTCACTCACTCACTCACTCACTCACTCACTCACTCACTCACTCACTCACTCACTCACTCACTCACTCACTCACTCACTCACTCACTCACTCACTCACTCACTCACTCACTCACTCACTCACTCACTCACTCACTCACTCACTCACTCACTCACTCACTCACTCACTCACTCACTCACTCACTCACTCACTCACTCACTCACTCACTCACTCACTCACTCACTCACTCACTCACTCACTCACTCACTCACTCACTCACTCACTCACTCACTCACTCACTCACTCACTCACTCACTCACTCACTCACTCACTCACTCACTCACTCACTCACTCACTCACTCACTCACTCACTCACTCACTCACTCACTCACTCACTCACTCACTCACTCACTCACTCACTCACTCACTCACTCACTCACTCACTCACTCACTCACTCACTCACTCACTCACTCACTCACTCACTCACTCACTCACTCACTCACTCACTCACTCACTCACTCACTCACTCACTCACTCACTCACTCACTCACTCACTCACTCACTCACTCACTCACTCACTCACTCACTCACTCACTCACTCACTCACTCACTCACTCACTCACTCACTCACTCACTCACTCACTCACTCACTCACTCACTCACTCACTCACTCACTCACTCACTCACTCACTCACTCACTCACTCACTCACTCACTCACTCACTCACTCACTCACTCACTCACTCACTCACTCACTCACTCACTCACTCACTCACTCACTCACTCACTCACTCACTCACTCACTCACTCACTCACTCACTCACTCACTCACTCACTCACTCACTCACTCACTCACTCACTCACTCACTCACTCACTCACTCACTCACTCACTCACTCACTCACTCACTCACTCACTCACTCACTCACTCACTCACTCACTCACTCACTCACTCACTCACTCACTCACTCACTCACTCACTCACTCACTCACTCACTCACTCACTCACTCACTCACTCACTCACTCACTCACTCACTCACTCACTCACTCACTCACTCACTCACTCACTCACTCACTCACTCACTCACTCACTCACTCACTCACTCACTCACTCACTCACTCACTCACTCACTCACTCACTCACTCACTCACTCACTCACTCACTCACTCACTCACTCACTCACTCACTCACTCACTCACTCACTCACTCACTCACTCACTCACTCACTCACTCACTCACTCACTCACTCACTCACTCACTCACTCACTCACTCACTCACTCACTCACTCACTCACTCACTCACTCACTCACTCACTCACTCACTCACTCACTCACTCACTCACTCACTCACTCACTCACTCACTCACTCACTCACTCACTCACTCACTCACTCACTCACTCACTCACTCACTCACTCACTCACTCACTCACTCACTCACTCACTCACTCACTCACTCACTCACTCACTCACTCACTCACTCACTCACTCACTCACTCACTCACTCACTCACTCACTCACTCACTCACTCACTCACTCACTCACTCACTCACTCACTCACTCACTCACTCACACTCACTCTCTCGCTCTCACACACTCACATTCATTCACTCTCTCACACACACTCACATTCACTCTCACACACTCACTCTCTCATTCACTCTCTCACACTCACTCTCTCATTCACTCGCTCTCACACACTCACACTCACTCTCTCGCTCTCACACACACTCACTCTCATTCACTCTCTCACACACACTCTCTCATTCACGCACTCTCTCATTCACTCAGTCTCTCACACACTCAAGTAACTGCAGTCAGCAGCTAGAGAACTTGGTCATCCGTCTGCAGCTGTTGCTCGTGTGTGATCGTGTGTGTCTGATATTTGTGCATGTGAGCTGATAACATACATATTCCTCGTTCAGACGCCGCTGATGGACACTGAACGGTCTATTCATATATTGCTGTTTTTAAATGGAATTATTGACAAATGGCTCCTCAGACAGGGTGACCATGTTTAAGCTTTATTGAATCATTTGAAGACTGATATAGTGTTAAACGTTTCCTCACTAAAAGCCTCCGGCGGTATGAAGCGGCTCTGAAACCCAGCAGACAATGTAGCTGTAATTTGACAAACACAGATCTCTACACTGTATGCCAGGTTCAAAACCGCATCAGTCTTGTTTTCCTCCGTGGGTCTGGCTTTAGCTGTAGTGTTGTGAAGCGCCACTCGATCACAGAACGACAGCCATCAGAGACCCAGTAGCCAGATGTAGCTGCTGGCGGAGACAGGACCTACACTGACCACTGAGCGAAGGATGGACGCCTCGATGTGGAGACCTCTGCAGCATCTGTGCCGCTCCGCTCCTGTGCTGCAGCCTAGACAGAAGGAAGATAACTGGGTTAACAAAACAGACCTGATCTCATGGACACCACTGATACAAGTGTGTTGTCTGTCCAGGGAAGAGAGACGACTTCATGAAATGCATGTGACCGGAGGGTGTGTCCTGCACCAACACAGGTGCATTAAACTCAGCTGAGTGTATAATAGCTGGAAGTGAGTGTAACAGAGATGTGGCCTGGAAAATGAGTTCAAACAGACGCCGCAGCCTCAGGGACCGCCGATGGAAGGTTAAACACACATGTCACAAACACACGGCTCCAGTCGAATCAGCGTGTTTGCAGCAGGCTGGGAGACGTCACACGAGGCTCTGGAAGCCGAGATGCACCTAGAAAGAAATGCACTGGAGTCATCAGTAATGACGATCGCTCCGGAGTTTGTCTCGTCATGCTGTCCTTGTCTTTCTGTCACATGATTGACGTGTGACACTCTTTTTCCACTCGGCATCTCTGGTTTCCGTGATGTCAAGTTTTCCATGATTTGGAAGTCAGTGAGCGTGACTCTGCTGTCCTTCGCTAAATGTTTTGCACATCAGTAGGTCTGTCATAATCACACACTCTTGATGTTTGATACAGGACGTCCCTCTCGTCGTCTCCTCCATAATGACCTGCACGTGAACTCTGGAAATGTGAGAGGACAGAACTGGGAGTGTTTAAGCTCTAGGTAAAGGGTCTACCTTCTGTGTCTCTCTCTCTCTCTCTTTCTTTAGTCAGTGTGTGACAGCTGCTGTTGTTGACTAACTCTTGAGCACAGATGTCGTCACATGCTTTTCCTGGATGTACAGGGATCAAGAACTCTGAACGTGTTTCAAGACTCTCCGCAGGAATAGCCTTCTCTTTCAGCTGAGTAGACATGCATGTGTCTGATCTTACAGCTTTGTTTTAACGGGTGATAAAAGCAGCAGTGGTGACGCTTGTGCATCACATGTTAAGGCGGTCTGTTGAGCTGTGGTGTCGTATTTCACTATAGACACAGAGATGTGGATCTGACCAATCAGAGCGCTCGACCCAGCAGCCCATTCATAAAAGCATGCTTTACCCTTCACCCACATGCTCTCGCTCTCTCTTCAGCCGTCATTACTCAGAGAGCAAGGACAAACACAATGGCCACGTCTCAGACACTGAAAACTGAGATCAAGACTCGATGATGAACATATTAAGATGTTTGTTTTAGCTTTAGCTGCCATTTACTGAAGAGCCAAGATATTTTGGGTGTCCCTCAAGTAATATGAGCACATTAAAACCGCATGAATGATAATATATGAGAATTTGTTGCTAATTTACAATGGTTTCTAGAGTGTAGAGTTTAGCATGTCCCACTGCAGGACACGGCAGTTCATGTCAAAATACTCATGAGCTTTATGGGATTGCTGGAGATCTTTCAGGTGTGATGGGTCAACACGAGATGCTTCAGTCCGTCAGGTGAACATCTGCGGTGGGAGCTGATATTTCACAGCTTCTTTGAATGGACTGGCGCTCACAAAAGCGCAGCGTTTTGGAGGGTAAGGGCCAGGATGATGTCTTCCCTTTCTGTTCCTCACTTCACTCTCGTTTCTCTTCTTACCAGCCTGTCTCTCTCACTCTTTCTCCCTCTGACCCTAAACCTGTTCCTCGCTGGCTGTCTTGAGTCGGCAAACAATTGCACAATCAAACGTGACGTGAGATACCTGTTTACAAACCTTCTGGTTTCCACTTCTCATGTTCCTTCTCTTCCTTCCCAGTGAATCCGCTCTGGAGTGTTGAGGAGTTTCACCCTCTCACCCTGTGAAAGCATGAAGAAGCAGGTTAAGGTTAGTCTTTGTCGGCATCCATCTTGAGTTTAATGAGTAATCTGCTTCAAAGAGCCGCCGGTGCCGTCAGACCGGACCACTATCAGTCCACTCCTGTTTTCAGCAGCGCTCGATGTAATTTGCGCGTTACATTAAATACTTCAGCACACTTTATCATATTTCTCTGTTTTTCCATCACAGTAATGTGTCACATTGTATCTGCCTGGCACAATAAAACCATGATGACTTTGCAAAATGTAGCAGTACTCACATTCGTGCAGCGGAAAACTCTCATCTGCCTTCATTATATCTCCACCTTTCTCTCTTTCTTTCGTTCCTCTCCTCTAAGTTTCCCCTCATTCCTGATCTGTTCTTCTTTCCCCTTTTTACTCGCACGCTGTAATCGAGTCACATGTTGCCGGTCCGACCTCTTTAAAGAGGGGCGGGAGCTCAGGTGGGCGGCGCCTCTTTTTCTGACCAATCGTGTCAGAGGGGCGGGGCTTACTGTGGCTTTTTCTCAATGGGAAGGTCAGAGGCCTCATTCATTGAGAAGCAAAGGAGTGTCATGTGCTGGAGAAACTCCTCATTTACAACGAGAAGTGAATTATAACCTTATTCAAATAAAGGAAGCAGAGCAGAGCAGAGCATGCTGATTCATTAGAAAACAGCCGTTTCCAGTCCTTCCAATGCAGTCACACTCAGTCTGATTCAATACATCAGGTTTTCAGCAATATGCCCTTCATACTTTTATTATGTAGAAACTGTTTTATAAAAGCAATAAGACACTTGAGGTGGTTATCCAGTCTGACAAACACCCTTCAGCTGTAACTACATGAGATCTCGCACTTTAATGCTTTAAGGTCTGCAGTCAGTCACGCTGTACGTTCAGGATGAGTAGCTGTAGTACTGTAGTTAAATTAGTTTGTCTGTTCGGTGGTTTCTCCAAACGTTTCTGGTGTAACATCTACAAAATGTCTCCTGTGATTTCATGCTAATGAGTCTGTAAATAATTCCTGCCATGCTGCTTGGCTCCTGTAAACCCATGACTGTGTGTGTGTGTGTGTGTGTGTGAGATGTGTGTGTGTGTGTGTGTGTGTGTGAGTGAGTGTGTGTGTGTGTGGGCGACAGCGTCTGTGTGTGTTTTTGCTAAATATATTTGCAGAGATGTGGTGAAATGCATAGCGTGGACTAATATGTCTCAAGTGGTGGGAAATCAAAAGCTTGTATTGTTATTCCAGGTTAGTCGTAAACAATCATTTGATTCGCTTGTATGATGATGAACTGCTTCACTTGCTTATAAATAAAGCTGTTGAACATGTTCAGAAAATCAACAGCGTCAGATTTCAGTCAAACATTCGTAATAAATGGCATTAACTGCTATTAATTAATGCATTGAGGCCACGGAATGCTTTAAACTGATTTTCATCTATTGACTTGTTACAGTACAGCATTAACAGCTGACCATGCGACGAAATAATCATACTTTGCCAAGCACTGGTCAATGCATCGGTCAGGTGTTTCTAGGATCTGCTTGAAATGAGGCATGAAATGCTGGTTTGACGCAACTACTTTTTTTTTTTTTTTTTTTTGTTTA